TATAAAGTGGTCATTGAGTGAGTCTTGAGGAGTAGTTGGCAAGTGCTGCAAGAGAGAGAGAGAGATTTTAATTGAACAAATTATAAATATATTTGGCCATTGGTCAAAGTGACCAGCGGGCAATTGACTAGTTGTTTACTAAAATAGAGCTCACATGTTTTTCATCGTCTCATTTAATTGATTATTACAAATATTTTCTAAAACACAATATTAATTCTATGAGTAAATTATGCTAATGTTATAAATACATTAGTAATGTATTAATGTAACATTAATCAATAAATGATTACTTATTAATAAATTATTAATAATAATGACCAATACATATCTAAATCACATTATAATTTTACAAATAAATAAAACATTTAATTATTTGTATGAATAGAATAGAACAATATATCAAATAAATTAATCAAAAAATAAACTTAAAATTATTATTATTGTATTTGTTTACTTGTTATTTTTTTCTGTATTTTTTTGTAAAATTTGTATTAATATTTGAAATTATTTTTAAATATATCTACTGTACTGTTACTATTAATATGAAATATATTAATTCAGTGTTTCACCCTTACTCAGAAATCATGATTAGTCTGATTTTCAAATTAACTATAGTTAATTGATAATAACTGATTATAATCAGTTCACAAATCCATTTATTGTTTGCATACGATTACCATAATTTCTAACCCACCCTGGTGAGTGTATAACTAAAATGTAATTGATAAACAAAACTGCAAACAGGTGATAAATGATTGGTCAATTAAATGCAATAATTATATTTTTAATATTAATTTTTAATCATAACTACTATTTGTTATTAACTAGATTTATGTGATATAAATGCCCGGATTCAATATCGATCGGTTCGCCGATTTGGCGCCCGGAGTTCTCTCAGAATACACGTGTAATATATGTCGCCAAATACTGGACAGTCCGGTGACCACAGCCTGTTGTCTGCGGGCTTTCTGTAAGGACTGTATCACTGAATGGCTTCAGACCAACACTACCTGTCCCTGCGATGGCCAGCCATTAACAGCGAATCAATTGTTACCAACACCAAAGTTAGTCTAATTATTTAGTAATTTAATTGATCATGTGTCAAACACATTATGATAATTATTTATTGCAAAATAATTAATTGCAATTTAATTTGTCATTGTTTAATATTTATACCACTATTACTATTATTAATTTAAAATTAATTATCAAAATAATTAATTCACCATGTTGGTGTTTAAGAATGACGGTGAACACATTGGGCCGGTTTATAATTTGTTGCGACTATTGGGAAGACGGGTGCCGTGAAATGGTGCCACTCAAGGACTTAAAACAGCATACAGTCGACTGTCGCTATAAGGATATTAAATGTTCGAGATGTCAGTGCGTAAAGACATGGAAACACGACTGTATCAAAGCGTTACAGGCTATGAATCGTAACGCAGAGACAGAGTTACGGACATTACGTATGGCTAGGGATCGGCAAAGTGAGCTCTATTTGAACATGTTTAACTTATTTTTTTGGCTATTATATTACAATGTGCCATGAAGAACTAAAAATTTAATATTTCTATTTGTTGGTAACTGTAGGGCGACTACGACTGCGGCCATCACTGCCCGTAATGTGTGTGAAATGCAATCTCGTGCTGACAGAGAGACACGACTGTATCAATGAGTTACTCGCGGTATATCAAAATACAGTGACAGATATTGATAAATTAAAAATTGATATTGATAATGAATCTGATTATGATAATGTTGATGAGGATGATCATGGTGGTGGTTTATTGTGCTTCCAGTTGCTGTCTTATATAATAAGGTAATTTTTTATTTTCAATTTTTTTATCATCCTTATTATATAACTAATTAATTTTTAATTATTATAAATAGGTGCGTTAAAAGACAATGATGATTTGCACAGACACCCTCTCCCATCACCATCTACAATTTATTATTATTATTATATGTAACAAATGATTGCTGTAAAACTTTCTCAATGAGATCATTAAAATAGATAACACACTGTATTTATAAAATAAGATCAAGTATTAATCAAATAGAAAATAATTGTACATTTTAATAGGAAATGTCTATAAATAATTAATAAGTAATTAAAATTATAAGTTAATTTTTTAAAACATTATAAAATTACATTTATTCTTTTTAAAAATAATTTTAAAAAGTAAGTAAATAATCACAAAATAAATATTGAATAATAAATCAGTAATAAATTCCACATTATCTGCCAATATATCTGTGTTTCCATTGGATTCTGTGATTATATTAATCACTTCCTATTGAATGCCTTTACTATTATTCACACATAAAAACATTATTTGTATTTCAATAGCATTTCATTACAATTAAAATTTTAAACAATAATAATAATGTCGTTTAAACTTGTAACAAATAACCATGATAATAAACATAATGACCAACAGCAACTATCATCAGATCACCAGATACTGGCCGAATGTAGACAACACTTGTGGGCACCGGAGCTGTTATCCAACAAAATGAGCGCCGATATGACCGACAAAACACTGGCCATAATTAGGCAACAGTTGACCGAACAGAACAGCCTATACCTCGTGTGTCAACATGTGGTCAATCATATGGAGCTCGAGTTTGGCAGCCAATGGCACTGTTGGGCTGACCGGCGGCCCGGAAGTAGCACAGGGTATTTCTCGTTTACAGCAGGCTCCTTTTTAATGGTTAAATTCTCCCCGATCACTATTACTTTATATCACACAAACATGGTAATGTTTTACTATAATTTTAATTAGTTTTTAATTTATTTTAACTCAATATGTTAATAATATACTATCAACTTATATACTGTAAACTTTACAGTGTAAAGTTTAGTTTATATAAATAATAGATTGATTGTTATACTTTTTTTTTATCAGTTATGCTAACAATCGTAAGTAGTAATAATTAATAATTTTGATTAATTACAGTATAGTTTATGAATTATAATTATTATATATTAAAGTAAGTAATTGACTTAAAACTAGTAAAATTAATTGCTATATTAAAACAGCTAGTTTGGTCTAACTTCAAGGCCCGGCTCAAGCATAACAAAATTGCACATAAATTAGACATATTTTACACGGATATGAATGAGACGACGGTATCGGCGGTGACGGCCATTGTGTTTGAGGCCATCGACCGGTCGGACAGTATGGGCGACACAACCAAAGACATTAAAAACCGTTTGGAGACCGTATTTCCTGTCAAAACGTGGCAGTGCTTTATCTACCATAAAGGCTCGTGCAGTAGATATTTTAATTATAAATCAGGCACGTTTATCGAGTGTCACCTGGGCGTAATTACCATCACTATATTTCAGCCATTAACTTAATAAAATAAAAATTGCAAAAAAGTTATAGCTGCCATTTAATACTGCAGGAAAACTATTTAAATATTTACACAATTATAAATTAATTTTTCTTAATAAAATAATTTTTTTTCAAATTTTAGTTTTACTTAATACATGTACATGTTTTTTATTAAGAGTTGTATTAATAAATTTTAATAATACTTTTAAAATCACTGTGCTGTAAATTGCAATTAGGGTCAATTTAAACAAAACCAAGAAATATAATAAACAAGCTGATCGATGTGGCGCAATAATCAAACAACTCGTGGTAAGTGATGGGAAACAATGTGCCGCAAGTAAAACCAATATGATCTACACTGAGCCTTTCACTCACGCGCATTACAAACACGCGCTGCCGTACAGACCACTTATTACGTACCATATGTGAGTGCAATCGGGGGCTAAACCGGTGCGCCTCCCGGTGCACACCCGACCAGAAAACGTTGCCGGCGAATAGCATGGCGGCGCCCATACACACGTTCATCAAAAACACCAGGCGCATTCCGGGCGACATGTGGCTGCTGTATATGGAGGCGTATATAAAATCGCACAGGGCCGTGGCGCCAAAATACAAGCCTACTATCACCTGATTGAGCATTTTATTTAGCTGGGAAATCGACCCGGCTAACTGGTAGTGAGCCAGCAGAGTGTGGGTAAGATTTTTGGCGCCTGTATGTGCGGCTATTCTGGCGTTAATCTCGCGCAACTGATATATTAGGTACAGTGTGACCACGTAGTTTATGGTGAACAACGAGGTGAACATGTCGAAATAGCCGGCTAACGCCCAATAGGTGACCGGTGCCCACAGGGCTACGATGGGCAGCGAGAATTGAGCTCGATCATTGTCGAACAGGTAGGCCCATAAGGACGTGCCGATCATGAACACAACAAATGGCCAGACGGCGGCCGGCCGTTCCACCTTGATCATAAACCAGGCCATAAGGTCAATACGGCGAGCGTATTTGCGCGCCGAGTTAGGGCTCAGGGGCTGACCGGGGGCGGCAACGGCCCAATCCCGGCGCAGTTTGGTAATAAAATCGACCAGGTTCAAACGCCGGCCGCGCTCCTGGTAGGCGAACAAGGCGTTAAACGCTAGGCCAAACAACACGCCGGACCCAATCACGCGATACGCTATGAGTATATTGTCTGACATATAGTGGACGCTGCATGTGATCCAAACAATCGTCCTGTTGTGACGGTACAGGTCTGCCGCCATCAGCCGCGCCACCAGTGATAGGCCGCACAGACGTCGCAATAGTATGATTAATAGCCGTCGTTGGGACACAGGTTTGCCTGCGCTATAAGTGTCAAAATTTTTGGCGCTCAACACGTAATTACCGGTAAAGTATTGGTCAATACGGTTCAACGCTGTGGTCGTGGCCATTGAATCTTGTTGTACGACATTTGATCTTGATTTAATTAAACGCAATATTGTCTTTACAAGATTAGCCATATTACATAATTAGAGGGCTATTATCATATTTATTTTAGTAACCACATTTTATTTCAACCATTGTGTTTTCAATTACAAACATACTGTACGTATTCATACGAACCGAACATGTAATGTAAAGTAACATAACAATTCAGTGCATATTACATATTGATTATTTATTTTGTGTATTTGAAATATATGCTTAAAATTCTAAAATAAAACAGTCATTATTTACATTTTATGCACGTTATATGACAGTGTGCAAATAATTGCTACCGTATATTAAAATATAATATTACCTGTATGTTTCATTATTAAGTTGTTCTAAATTATTTATATTTTAGTGTAATTAATAGAAAATTTTTGTTATGTTATTTATAAAAATCAATAGAAATTATCTTTATTAATTTAAAATTATTTTAAAAAACCCCACTTACAATATACACATGTATATTATCGTTCTGTATACATAATTTTATTAACATACATTGCGCATATGCATATATAACTTCATACTAACATATTTATTTAAAAATATATTAAAAATACTATTTAAATACCATAATGTTTATTAATTGCTTTTACAGTTTAAACAACAAATATACTGTACATGTGTGTTTACAATGATTAATTTCGAAAGTTATATGACATGGCTAATTACTGTGATCATCTGTGTAGTGATCACATATTTAATAAGATTTTATATGAAAGTGTATTCATTGCCGAGGGGTCCGTTTCCACTGCCAGTGCTTGGAAATGCGTTAAGTAAGTTGTAATAAAAATCATTAATTTTTAATAAACATTTTTACACATTAATATTAAAATTTTAATTAGTTTTATTTCGGAACAATTCTATAAACTACATTTATCATAAATGAATTGTGGTAAAAATTAGTAGAGATTTCTAGGTATTTTTAAAAAAATTGACAATAAATGATCAGTGTGCAAAAATGTCAAATATTTATGTAAAGCACAACTAAACGTTATTTTGCTAAAGATATTATTTTTGTTTAGACTTTAATATGAATTGTTTGCGTTAAAATCGCAATTTGATCCAAAAACTCATCATGCAGAATTAATAATTTTTAATTTGTTTTATATTATAAAAGTGTTTAGAAATATAAGAGTGCATTCATTCGAGGCGATCAACGAATTACACAAAACCTATGGATCGGTGTTTACCGTATGGCTGGGATGGACACCAGTGGTGGTCATCGGCGACAGTGTTATACTTAAAACGGCGTTCACTTTGAAACACAACGAACTGATGGGTAGACCTAATTTCGGTGTCACCAAAATGATCACTAGGGGTGGCGTCGATGTGGCCTTTTCTGATTACGGACCCGAATACGTCTATTTGAAACGTATAGCGCTCTCGGCGGTCAGGTATCACATATAGGCATATACCCTAAAGTTTCGTGCATTACCTGTGGGAATGCCAATCAAAAATTGGAATTTTTGTAATCTTTTATGTTTGCGTTATTAATGTGGCGGTTTATGTATTGGTTAATTGCTGTAAAATGATATTTACATATTATTATACTCCCATTAGTGCAAGTAAAACACGGAACTTTAATAATAATAATAATAATAATAGGGTATTATACACCTCTATGGGTGTTTAGACACTGTCAGATCACGTGGTCTGATCAGTGTTATTGAGGGAGGGATTAGGAGGTAAGCTGGGTTACACCATTTTTGGCCGGTGTATGGCACTACTGGGGGCACCGATGGGTCAGTTGACACCTCTATTATTGTTATGCTTTGGTAACCGGTATGTGTTGTCAACTAAACAATTAGTTAAATCAATTGAATAGTTGACTGCAATCTATGATTCACTATCCGGAAAGACAGAGGAAAACCGGAGGACCCGGAGAAAAACTGCCGCACTCTCGTGTGTGAAGTGATCACACAAATGATCATGAAAAGAGAGAAAGTGGCACCGATTGGGAATCGAACTCACGATCTCACTCCATTCAAATCACGCGCACTTAGTTTATGGGTAAACCCATACCATGCCCTTAAGCAAGTGCGCCACGGAGGCCCACTTTAGGGTCCTATGTGTACTAAATTCGCCACAACAAATATATAATTTATTATTCTCTATAGAAAATTAGCTGCAAGTGAGATGTTTGGTCAATTGGTAAACGATATCGTAAACGATGCAATAATAACCATGGTGAAGCAACTATCACCGAGTTCGCCATTTAACCCGGACATATTTCTAGTGCCGGCTGTGATAAACGTGATCTCTTCGTCGGCATTTGGCAAACGGTAACAAATTTATAATCAACAACATTACAATTAACCTAGATACTTTCATTTGATT